AMWWSAAGCTACATGTTTACTAATATGAATGCAGCTGGTACATGTTRTTTTGTTGTTTATTTACCATGTTTGCTATGTGTTTAGGATGTTATAACTCCTGGTGAGCCTGTAGTCAAYGAGCTGAATGCATTTGATAAACTCCTACTAGAATGTGAACAAGAAGCACCAATAACATTCAAAGAATACCTCAAGCCAAGGTACAAAGATTAAATGTATTATAACAATAATAATTTTTTTGTTTACAAACAGGATGATAAGGCCATCCTTGGTCAGTTTTAGAACTACAATAGGCAGTTGCATGACGATATTTTTGAATCATTATCATTGCCCATTTCAGTTCCCTTAAGAAGTGTGTTAAAATAGGAGAAGGTGTTTATGGTGAAGTCTTCAGAACAGTCAATGAATACAAACAACCTGTAGCTTTGAAGGTAAATAACAAGTATTACACATGCCTTCCAAGCAACAAATATTCTTGTCTGGCGATGTGCTGTCCTTCCCCTGTTGGGTAGTTGTAGTTTTAAGAGGTCTGGAAAATTTTGGATTAATGGTCTATTTCAATTGTTTCCGTTGATGTCGAATGTACCATTGCTTACTACATATATTGTCATTGATAAGGAGGATTTACAGAGAATTTCGTTTTGCTCCCTTGCACTGCTCATGCCCTATCTTCTACACGCTTTAAAGGTTGATTTACGCAATAGGACCTGTCATYCAGTGCCATAGAGATTTTAGTTTAGGTCCAAAAGCTTAAGACAAGTCATGGGTTGCTCACAACCAGTTGTAGTCAAGTTGCATACAATTTACAGTGTGTAGATCAGCATAAAGAGTTTATAAGTCCTTTTTTGCAAGGGCTTGACACTAACCAAAAGAAGGGTCAAAACAATAGCATTTTTCCTTTTTACATTCTATTGTTCTAATGGAGTTGACTGTCTGTCCTTAGATCATCCCAATCAATGGTGATTTTGAGGTCAATGGCGAACCACAGAAAACATGTCAAGAGATTCTACATGAAATTGTCATCTCCAAGTAAGAAAAACTAGGGATGATTGATATTTGTACAATGATAAAACTGCAATCCCAATTCTATTCCATCTTGTTATATCAAATCAAACATCACTTGAAGCAAGTATTATCAACTTTGGGATTCCTGTGTCCTAACGTGACACAGGAAACCCGAAAGAAAAGCAGGTTGTTTGCTTGGAAATTCCTGTTGCAAAGTCATGTTACTTATACATATTTCTCCATTATAGGGAATTGAGTGAGCTAGCATATGGTGCAGTAAGTACATTTTTAATAAAATGGAAACTAATTATTTAAAAGTGCAAAAGTGACCAATAAAGTTATTTTTTGTATTTTTGAAGGAAAAGCAATCAAAATGGTCCACACCAAACTTCATCAGTGTTCACAGGTAGGATTCTTTATGATAGTACATACTTTTACCCATTACCAATCCCTGGGTAATAGTAGCTATTATATAGCTGGGGAATTAACATTTCAACATTATGTTAGGGTGAGTTTGATTCAAGATGAGTACCCTGCGCACCTTGTTAAGGAATGGATGAAATGGGACAAAAGAAAAACCTCCGAGAATGACAAACCTGGTAAAGAATACTGTGAATGTAAACTACGACATAATAAGTACAATACAAAGTCAATGTTGTTGCAATTGTACATTAATAAATAATAGAGCGATTACTTATCTGTTAAACTTGAAATCAGGCCTGTGTTTTCAATTTCTACATTACATTAAACATTACCATTTTCAGATTTCTTCCCAACTGACCAACTCTTTCTCGTGTTTGAATTTGCCAATGGAGGACAAGACTTGGAGAGTTTTGAATTCAAATCGATGGCCGAAGCACTAAGTGTTCTTCGACAAGTAGCCCTTTCTTTGGCCATCGCTGAGACAAGCCTGGAGTTTGAACACAGAGATCTTCACTGGGGAAATGTTCTGATTATCCGCAATGCTCAACAAGATATAGAGTACATTTTAGACGGCGAGACAAAAACAATTGACAGTTGTGGTGTTCATGTTAGTATTATTGATTTTACACTGTCAAGACTGAAAAAAGGTAAAATATTAGCATCGCCATGTTTATATTTGTAGGGTGATAAAGCTGTATAATGAGCATCAATTGCTTTGCATTTTTCTATAAAGGCGGCAAGATACAGAAACTATCAACTTGGCGCACAACATTGTTTCTGTTTTTTCATCGTGCGCGATGAACTTGCCACGCAACAAAATCCTGTTGCGAGTTGAAGAAATCTCGCACGCTGATTGGTTGATTTTATTGCTTTTGATGAAAACSAAAAGTAGGGCGAGAGTCTACTTTGGGCAACAACTTTCTTYAACTCGCAACAGAGGATTCTGTTGCGTGCCAAGTTGATGGTTTTTGTATCATATTTTGCCGCAAAATATCATCAAACATCTTTCAGCATTTTGTTGTCGTTGTTGTCTTGTGGTGTGTTTGAAGTCGTTTGGATCATCTCGCAATGTGGGATCGTTTGGGGTGATATTCAAGACTGGGGTGTGACATCCGCGATTCAAACTCATCCTACTGTATGTTATTGAATAATAATGGTCACTGATGCAATCCTTCATGTTTTCAGATGRTGTAACTGTATTTTGTAATCTTTCTGAAGACGAGTCTCTTTTTACTGGTCAAGGCGATTATCAGTTTGACATTTACCGTCAAATGAGGAAAATCAACTGGTGAGTGTTGATCCTAGTTTGCAAGTCGACCCTTTCGTGGAGCGCGCGTCAAGATTTCATTATCCCTGTTCCTTTGACTCCTTGGTTAGCTTCGGTTTTCTTATAACTATTAAAGGTCTAAGGTCAACCAGCATCCCTTACGAGCTTTTGCTTGTTTAAAAAAAAAAAAAAAAAAAAAAAAAAAAAAAAAAAAAAAAAAAAAAAAAAAAAACACCGTTGTGTTATCAAAACTCTGTATTACCCCATTATGTTATAGGAATAGGAATAGTGTAAGATTTGACCTTTAAAACGAAGGATTGCGAATGGAATGGATGTTTGAAGTAGCCTCGTAAATCTAGAACACGACCGCATTAAGCTCCGAAACTCCGGTAACCACGCCCTTCAKTTATAACATTTCACCGGTATCATGTATAAACCACTTTTCTGTACGTTGTTATAACAATTATTCATTATTCATATTTCAAATTTACAGTGATAATTGGGAGGCTTTCACGCCAGCAACAAACATCCAATGGCTACATTACTTGACTGACAAGGTACTCAAGAAAAAGTTTCCTTCTCGTGATCGAACGACGAGYTCAGCCTTGAGACGGCTCTTCAATAACGTCCTGGGATATCAGTCAGCCAGGGGGCTCGTTGAATCTACTGATAATGGGTTTTTGTAGATGGTTTTGAAGTAAAGCGAGGCCGAATGGAAATATAATAGTTATATTGATCATAGATCGGCAGGCATCGTTAGTGAGATGGGGAGATGGCAAAGAATTTGGAAAATATATAAACACCAAAAACAAACGAAAAATTGAAGACGACAATGTAATGAAAATAAAAAGCTAGAAGGGATAAAAAAAAGACGAAAAATGAGAATGGAAGGGATCAAAAAGTGAAATAAAGTGAGCAAAGTGAGAGGAAAAAATGAAAGAAAGAAAAGAAAATGCTTGAATAAGAAGGAGGRAAAAAAACAGTGGAAAATGTTTAGATAATTATTAGCTTTTTTGTGCTAATAAGTATATTGATTTAGGATTTCAAATATTTGTAAATGCGCGACAACAGAAATTTTCGCAGAATGTAAAAAAAACTAAAAAAAAAAAATCGAGAGTACTACAGACATTCGGTGCATCTTGTCGATAATTTTCTTTACAAGTCAAATATTCCTTAAAAGAAAAATCAGTGAACAAACACGACATAATATTGTAAATATCGTTTTATTTTCCAGTCAATTAATTTTGAAACCCTTTACGGGAATACCATAAAACATGGTTAATATGTGCAATAATGGATTTTCGGAAATTCTGAATTTGCCAATAGTSATAAAAACCAATTAATACTCTTAATATGCACATTAAAATGATCAGTATATCCTATAACCCAGGAGTTTTTCTGATGAAAATACTGTATTCCAGGTATATTTATAAACTACATTCGGTGAAATGATGTTTATCATATAATAATCTATGAAATACCTATATTTCTCCATTTCGTTAAGTTGTTATGATCACTAACACAATCGAAGTTTCTTTATATAGTGGAAATAAGAAAAAAGGTGTTTTACAACATAATTTGCTTTCATATTTAATTATATGATAAAGAGAATATTGCATAGTTGCTTGCAGATACGAATTTTATCTTCTCGTGTTAAAAATCGTTCGCTATACTCACTCGTGAGAGATCTTTTCAAAACTCGAAGATAAAATCCGTATCTCCGCGCGCCCATGTTATATCCTCTATATCTCCGCGCGCCCATGTAATCCTCTATATTATAGATGTCTGTATAATAGTTGTATATCATAATTGTTACTTGGCTTTCCAAATCTGATTGTACATTATGTACATTGGACAATAAAATATATCCAAACATTAAAACTTTGTTTATAACACTGTATCAATAAACAGTCGAACCTCTAGTAAGCGGACTTAGCAAAGTGACCGCTTAATGGGGTTAAAGTTTACAGTAAACATGAGGTACAAACATTTCGGCACTTAAATAAGTGACCTTTCAATAGAGGGTGACCGCTTTATAGAGGTTCGACTATAATAACAGTGCACAATGAAATTACTTGAGTTGAGTGCGGCGTCGAGAAGACAAGTTTCAAAAAATGAATTTCATTGACATTGTTGAAGAAATATTAATAAGCTGTTGTGAATATTAATTATGCAACATTCCATAGAATAGTCTTCTTCGCGGTTCCCTGCACCATCTTGAAAGGTACCCTTGCCTTCGCATCGAAGCGAGACAACCGTTGAGCGTGTAATGATAGATACCTGTGAAAGAAGGTTTCTATCATTGCATGCTCAACGGTCGTCTTGCTTCAATGCAAAGGCACGGCTACCTTTCAGGATGGCACAGGTAACCTATTAAAAGACAAAACACATTCATAGTAAAGACCAATCTATTTTCGATGTACGACTTCTCCATTGGTTTTTCCGTCTCTAGAGCGGATTTCGTATGAGTGGGACACCATTACCGCACGGTTACCGGACCTGGCCTTCACAATTTTGGTGAACCTATGGGGCACTAGAATTTGGTTACAGTGCGATTACGGTCACAGTACAGTACCGTCCGTTTCCCACTCATACGAAATCCGCTCTATCAGTACACTAACGTTGCTTGAAGCGTCACACTTTTTTCACCGAATGCGTGTTTGTGCTTTCAATTAAAAGCAGTCTATTTTACTATATTTAAGCAAGGCATTTGGTTTATAATTATTAGAGATTTAAATGTGTTTTCTTATTTTTGCATCAAGGTATAGAAAGTCATTCGAAAGAAATCTGGATTTTTGATAAGTTATTTTCACGCGATACCGTAGAGATTTGTAAGACATCCAGGTGCTTTGTAATGGAGTGAAGCCTGCATAACCAGGCGTTCCTAGCCGCTCCACGTGGGCTTGCGCCGAAGCCCAAAAGGGTTTGAATGCGATTAAAGATGCCAGGTTTATTTGCTTGTCTTAATCATCGTTGTATTTTGGTATCACTGATTTCTCTTGGCGACCGGGCCGATATCACCTCGTTCGTCTAAAATGATAACAGTTATCATAATTAGGAACTGCGCAATATTTATGAGCCAAAAACAAAAATCCAAAAAGTTAATTCCCCCACTCCCCCTCTCGCAATTTATTTATTATTATTATTCACGAATAAAGAGTTCTTTTAAGAAGTTTTCCACTTCAATAAGTATTTGGTCAAAAAGCACAGAATCTGACACAATAGAGTTATCAGTTTCCAATGATTGTTCTGGTTAATTTTAGACGTTGCTCCCCGCCCTCTTTAAGCACATAAAATTTGATCCCCCCCCCCTTCTGATAAAAATTGCGCAGTCCCTTATCATATTATACGTTGAGATACTACGCCCATACTGCTCTCACCTCGTTCTACAGCATCTTTAAGTATGTCGTTTATGTACGTTCTAAAACAAACAGACAAATGGTCTTACGTCAAAACTGTTTTGGCGAAATGCATCATGGTATTGATGAACGTAAGATGAAAATTCACGCTATTAAACGTTTTCAACCATTCCCACGAGATTCAAAAGATAAAAGACCGGCGACCATGTTGTTGGAATAAACAAGAGATACGAATAAAAAAATCTTTTGTTAAAGTTCCAAGCGCCATTTCGAAAGGTAGAAAGGCTTTGCATCAAAACGAGACAGGAGTTGAGCGTGCAGTTATAGATAYGTCACACCTAAGGCAACTATTAACAGGTATCTAATATTGCATGCTTTGATGCCAAGGATTGGCTACCTTTCAACATGGCGCTAGCTTGGAACTATAAAATAAATTATTCAAAATAGAACTTGAATGGATACCGTGGTTACAATGTAGAATGGCATGATATATACTTACCTTTCGTGTAAAGGCATTTGTACATTATCAAAGAAATTATTTTTTCTTCTTATAGGGAAGCTGTAGCCATATTTAGCGATCAACTCAAACACTCTCTGAAAATAACAATACAAAAATCAAAAANAATACACCTTTTCAGTTGCTCTTAGGCCTCGACAGCGTGTTAAATATTCTTTTGAATTTGTAGGAATGTGAGCAATGCAAACATTGATATGAATAGTCTCATTTGTCAAATTCAAAAGAATAATTAACTTGCTAACGAGGCCTAAGTGCAACTGAAAAGGTGTATTGGCRACTTGCAGGATGCCGTCACATACTAACAAGACCAGAATGCTTTGCCCACCTATTTTGCAAAGTAGTTTAAAGTGCACATGACACCTTTTAGAAAAATACTTTTATCCGAAAGTTTACACGCTGCCAAGTACTTCTGTGAAGGAAGAAATAGATTTTGAATTGTATTTTCCTTTGAAATTTGAAAATGCAAATGAAGTGACGTCAACTAAGGAATTGATCCAGTCTTTTTACATTGTTTGTGCTATGTTGTTCTTGGTTGAAGAGCTCAAATCATCAATCATAGTAATAATTGAGAGCTGAAAAAGCTTTTTCCAATGTAACAAAAAGAATAACGTTCTTTTTCATGATTTTGTATATTAAATCATTCCTTAGTACACGTCACTTCATTTGCATTTTCTAAGTTTCAATTGCCCATAACTTGGAAAATACAATTTTTTTTTCACAGATTAACTTAGCAGCATTTTCTCTTTTGGATGAAAATGAATTTCTAATGGTGCCATTTGCACTTTAATAGTCCCAATACTTCAGATTCCAATTCTCTATGCAAGTTTTTCACTCAAGCATAAATTTTTATTGTCTTCTTTGTAAACAGACGTTTTTGCATTTCAATAGGATCTCTGTAAATAAAAGAATATATTACATGACCAAATAAGACCTCGAAACTGGAGTTTTGTTTTACTTATCTCTAAAGCAGAGCATTCTGGGAGTTGTTGCAAAATGACGTCATAATGCATAATTATCGCATATTGCCTAGAGGCGTTTCATTATTCTTACCACAGATCCCTTTATGTCTCTATTCATTCCACAGCAATGAAGTAACGACAGCAATGCTGTGTAGCTGTAACACAAGAACACTTAAAATGAACAACTCTTCAATGTTCCAATTTCTTTGTGTGTTTTTAATTTTATCATCAGCTATTGTTCATCTTCTACATGCTTTTTGGTATTGCGTTTGTGGCTATAGACTTCTAAATYCCGCTACGTCACCTACTTTGGTTCGCAACGCATTGTGCAATTAGTTTCTGTAGAAAAAACAATGCATTGCGTATATTGTATATGACGTAAAAGCTTCAGAGGTCTATTTTCTGTTTAAAAAGGCTTTTCATTTTGATGTTAGCCTACGGGCCTGCCAATCTTTGCAATCTGTTGCAATCTGTTGCATCACATTGTTAATGTTACTGCTGTTATTTCTGTTGCTAGTTATCTTGTTTTAATCGGTTCTGTTGTTATTTCTGTTGCTAGTTATCTTGTTCTGATCGGTTCTGGTTTTTTTTGCTGTTTTTATTGCAATCTTCCTAGACCCGTTGTACTAAGGGTGAATAGCGTTATCTACTGAATAAATCCTTATGCGACAATCATGAAAACTTTATCTACCCTTCATAAAACTGGCCTCTGTTTTTATTTTGATATCTCGGCTATGAAGTCTGGTACTTACAGTGGAACGAAATTGTGTTCATCATACATCTTTAGAACATTCCTGTCAAGAGATGTATTCAAGGAGTTGTCAATTACGAAAAGCCAACCACAATAATCGCATTTAAAAACATGAACATGACATTTTGTTAAGGTAAAGTCTTAGGGACGATCCATTTAACTTTTGAGGGGGGGGGGGAGGGGGTGGGTGGTTTCTTGTGAGCAAGATTTTTTTTTCTTCATGGCTTTTGGGTAGGATATATATTTTTTCTCTTGGTGGTGTGTAGGATTTTTTTTCTTCTTGTATGTAACATTTTTTGGGGGCTTAGGGTGGTGCAAGATTTTTTTTAGGTCCATATGTTGTGCACGTTTTTTTATTTTTGGTGAAGATGGCTTGCACGATTATTTTTTTCAAAAGCATCCCCCCCCTCAAAAGTTAAATGGACCGTCCCTTACCAAGCTTGTTTAAGATGGCCTCCAGCACAATACTGTTTTATCAATGCGCTGATCATATAGGCATGGACCCTTAAAAAGACAAGAAAAACAAATATATATATAAGATAGTGTTACGCTAGTCTTTTTCTGTCTAGTCATCTTAGTTGGTTATTTAGGTCATCAAATCCGATGAAGTCCAAGTCAGATATTTTTTAAAACGTCGAGACACACCACTGTTATTTCAATTTATAGTGCTACTTGCATGAAAATGCCCTTTTTTAAAAACTTCAAGCAATACAAATATGACTCATTTATATCTCTTAAAAACAATTGCTGAAAAATATTTGTTTTGGAATTGTCCCACATCAGAGAAATTTTGATTCAAAAGATGGAAAGACAAAAGGATGGAGTAACGTCATTTACTCCAAAAAATTTTTGCCCAAATTATTAAGGATTTTTATCAATATCTTCTTGAAATCTGTTGCTTCATGATAATTAGACCCATATGAATAGGTCTATTTGATTTCCAAGTCTTTTCTAATGTTTCGCAATTTTCGTATAACGCGCGCTCTGATTTTATAAAAGAACTATAAAACGGCCGTTTGTGTCTTTAGTGTCCTCTGACATAAACACGGTGGGAGTTGAAAAGCACTCGACAAGAGAAACACTCGCTACGCTCTCGTTTCTAGGGCTGGCGTGCTTCTCTCGTGTTTTTCAACTCCCACCGTGTTTATATCAGAGGACAGAGACACGCGCGCCGTTTTATAGTTCTCAAATGCAACCTGACGCTCTATGAGCGCGAAGTGGGCCTGGCTATAATTTTACTATATAATAAAAGTGGCACATCAAATAAAACAAAACTTTCAGATTCAGTCTGTAACTTACGGTATATTAAATTTCTTCATCCAAAAAAAGACATCTTCCAAGATTTCCACATACTGCCTGTAATTCTGAAGAGAAAAAAAAAAAGTTGATGAAAGACTATTAAAGAAGCACAAGAAAAGGGTTATCTATTACGAGCTTCTGTTCTATGTTAAAAATCCAAGTAATTTGTTATAGAGTACTGGCATTATGTCCATGAAATGTAAACTAAATCGATACTCACAAACAATTTTTACTGAATGGAAAAGTTTTCTTTAGAAACAATAGCAAATACACAAGAGAAACCATATTTTTAGGTCTTAACAGTATTGGAAATGAAGGACAATGTTAATAAAGATCTTTCTATTATTGTTACAGTTGAATGATAGTAACTAATAAGCACCAAAAAAATATATATATATATTTGTTAGTTACTATTTATATTTTATTTCATGGACATAGTGTAAGCACTAATCAACAGAAGAGACTTATTTYTATGACTTTATCTACTATGAGAATGAAGATTAAACCTTAAAATCGACTGATGACCGAGAGATTGCCATTGAGCATTTAAGATTTATTTATTAGCCCTTTATGAGAAAAATTAAACACGACCGCACTGAATGCCGGTTAACCCTGACCCTTTAAGTGATTTTGTTCTTCTGCTTCACATTTTGCGATGCTTCCCAAACCAAGCAAGTTTATACTATATCCAGATAAGACACGTTGTTTCTCTGAKGCAAACTAGTTGTACTATGACTTTAAAAAGTAGTGGGAAAATCAAATCTAGAACATCCGATATTTCTTACCTTTGCCGATGTTCTTTTATGAAGGGATGCGAAAATCCCTTTGCATACTGTTTCACTGATAGGAACTCTGAATTTCTTCATGTCTACAACGAATATTGAAAATCAACACACTGATTTTAATTACTATTGAGTACATAGAACTACATCTCAGGCAAAAACATCATCTTAAGACACGGATTTCCCGGCAATACCTGAAGACATTATCCTAAAAATGAGCCAGGGAAAGAGATCGCAAGTGACTCGTTTATATTGCATAAGATTGTACTTCAGTAGGCAACGAGTGACGCCGCATTTTGTACACCAAAGCATGATGGGAAATAGAGTCCTCGAACTTTATATGACTGTTAAAAGTAGCCCCAAAATAGTAAGACATCAAAACCTTAGATAAAGCATTAGAGTGGTTTTCTTAAACCCGTGAAACAAAGTGTAATAATTAGAGTGTAATAGATCGTAATAGTCGCGTAGAGAAAATAAAAAACAAAAGAGCCAAAGTGTAATAGAAATAAATATGCTAAAGGGTGTTTCACGGGTTAATGAAAACCACTCTATTATACCTATATGCACTCTTTAAGGTATATTCTTTAATAGACCCCTGAACCTTTTACGTCATGTATCGTATACGCAATGCATTGTAGGATATGTTTGAGACAGAAAATGGCGGATTTCTTTTGCTTTCTCAAGCAACTGATCCCACAATGCATTGAAAACCAAGTAGTGACATAAAAGTTTCTTTTTGTGCAAATGATATCTCACTAGATCTGCACCTCTACAAATCACAGACAGAAGGAACGAAGGAATGACGTCCGAATCCTCCGCGATTCTCATATCTTTTTACTATGTATATCCCTTTATTTAGTACAAATTTGAAAATTTTTGCTGATGCTTAGTGTATGTTGTAGTCCAGTCCCAGACCCTTTTTTGACCCGCTCCATTGAACGAGCCGTTCAACGGAGCGGGTCAAAAAAGGGTCTGGGACTGGACTATGTATGTTGATGCTTAGGGGATTTTAGTAAAGACCCACATGCATCCAAGAACCTTTGTGCGATTTTCTCAAATAGAAAAATTTGCAATCTTTGATTTTGAAGATCTTTGAACCAATCAGTAAACAATTTTCAGGACATCATTCTCATATCTTTTTACTATGTTTATCCCTTTATTATATTACTCTACTAGTTAGTAGTTTGTTACCTTGGTATAATTTAGGCACAAGTCTCGGCTTCAGCTCTCTTGCTACCATTTTGAACAGCTCAGCGTATACCCAGGTATAAGGAACAACTTTCTGTGAAAAGTTTAACAAAAACAAGTTGAATGAGTCGTTCGGTTTGATCGTATACAGCAAACGCAGGAAAACCATGAAATCAAACTAAATCCTAACAAATAGAGGCTATTTAGAGACAATTTGTCAGTACCAATGAACTAGAACACAATTAAGATGAAGATCCACATCTGAGAGTTTGTCTCTAAATAGCCGCTATTTGTAAGGATTTACTTTGATTTTAACTATTTTATTTCATCGTTTTCCTGCGTTTGCTATATTTCGCACTCTRACTCTTTTTTATGTTTTATGGTACAAGTGCGTTGATGCCATGATATCGTAATATTCTATTTATTTAGGAGCAGACTGATTTGCAAAAGGTTAAAATTATCCTCAAAATAATCATTTCCCACCCTCTATCCACGGCTCAAATTGAGGATTTTATCCAATCTGGTGCCGTGTTATATGTGCCTGTAATCATTTCTCGTCTAAACAGGTCCAACCACAGGGAGCCCAAGCAATGACTTTGAACCTATAATAGTTAAAAATAAACTTTTTCCTAAAAAAATAGTCTACTTTTATTTTATTCAGAGTCACAATGCATTATAAATGGGTTTTAAACAATTTCCCCTCCCTATATATATAATTATATACGGAGAAGAAATTTTTTTAAACCCATCTATAATGCATTGTGACTCTGAATAAAATAAAAGTAGACTATTTTTTTTAAGTAAAATTTTATTTTTAACTACAATAGGTTTCAAAGTCATCGCTTGGGCTCCCTGTGGCCCAACCAGTACTACCGAGTAAAGACTTTTAGTTATGAATGGACAAACAGACTGATCAATTAATGACTAGGAAAAGGGGATGTTTTACTTACAGCTGGTACGATTTCTTTGTATGTGTGGTAAACTACTTCAGCACTTAATTCTGATTGGGCTAAAATAGCCAGAAAAGATCCACTGAAAAAAAAAGATTGAATTGAACGGTTAACACCCGTTTACACKTCACTTTTTCAAGCGCGATTCTCGAGGCGATCGCTGTACAGCCAACGCCTGAGTTTCGAACATACTTGAAAATTGGCTGCAACATAGCGGTGATTTTCCATCGTCGCAACAATCGCAGGGCCGATTACACGTACGATTTAAGTTGCGCGATAGCAAAGTGGCGATACTCGCGCTGAAAAAATCGCAAGTGTAAACGGGCCTTTAATGCACCGGCTGCCCAACTATTGCTTGGTAAAATAAAGAAAGAGCTACGTACGCTTTGATTTCTCTTTTAATTATCGACGCGCACTCTTAGTGAAATGCGGACTACCTGTCGTATTACGTCACGATCCGCTGACGTAATACCACAGCGGATACAAACCTGCATCCCAAGAATTCTCTACTTGCACATGACCCATAATACCTTCTGATTTTGGGGGGTAGGTTTTGTGATGCAAATAAAATTAATTGTTATTCAAATATAAATGATTTCAATAACAATAACTACCCCCCAAAATCAGAAGGTATTATGGGTATGCGCAAGTAGAGAATAATGACGTAATACCGCAAGCTGTGTAAAATGCGGGCGCATATATTCTAAAACCACGCAGCATGTGAAACCTTTGGTTAAAGTTAAATTATGGCAGACTTAGCCTTAAGAATCTAACCAACTTACTAAAATATTCCTCTCTTTTCTCCCAAAAATGCTGTGTCGTTAACCTCTGCCAGAGCATACAGACGATGAGCAGCATTGTGGTCTTTACAACTCATGGCCTACAAACAACCAAAACAACAAATATATTATACAATAGACCTTTCGCCAACCAAAGCGGGCAACCTGTTTGTTACAGCCCCCAAACCTAGAAAAAGTGCGAAGTAATGATATCAAACAAAATAGACAAAAACATTCTCACTACATACAAAAAATTGATATAAAATGAAAGGAAATAAGATTAAATATGAAATTTATGACTTGAATAGTAGGTATAAAGGAATATAATCATTTGAAAAGAAAGGTCATGCACGAAATTTAACAACGAGACTTCTTTGTTGCCGTTTGAGCATCAAAAGGTGTAGTACTTGTACTTATCAGAAACCCTATAATATCTTCCTAAAAGCCATTTTTACATTTTCTTGGATTACTGTATACAGAAACAAAACTTTCTGCATTCGTGTGGACAAGACCTAAATGCCTCATTCAATCCATTAAATTATGGCAATCAGCATGTCCTACAATTGTGTTTACTAGGGTATGCGAGCATGTGCAAACAAAGGTCTTACATACTACATTTACTTACCGCTCCAATGGCTGTGTTGAAAAATCCAACTAAAAAGAACATTTCAAATGTCAGTTAAAATTTAAATTAATTTTTTTTTGGTTTGCTAGATTTTTTGAGAAGATGCTTTGAAGTTTTCATTAACTTTTGCAATTCTATAGAAAAGATTGCAATCACCACCCCCCACCCCCTTGCACCTCCTACCCCCCATTCTAGAAAAGATCGCAAGCACCACCCCCCACCCCCTTGCACCTCCTACCCCCCATTCTAGAAAAGATCACAAGCATCCCCCTTGCACCCCTACCCCTCCTCCCCCCAATCTAGCAATCAAAAATCATAGAGAGCTGAAAATAGTGCAAAGTGTATTGTAGTCTTGGAATGTTATATGAGTATCCAGTTTGCATTACTCAACATTTCCTAAAATAGCTGTACACACAAGTGATGATGTAACGCAATCAACTTACCATCTGTGACATCTTGTAGACGTGGTAGTTTATCATAACATTCCAACTGACTGATGACAGCTTGTAAAAGACCGTTATTTGGTAATGATGCAACATCTTGGTCTGGTGAATAAACGACAGCCTCAACAAAAAGAAATCACCAAATACCTGTCCTGTTTTACAGACGAGCCTACAAATAGGTCCGGTCGTCAACGTTTTCCACAAACATTGACAGAGTTTGGAGATGGAGGTGTTAGCATTGACCCAGGCTACCAAACAACTACTTTTCAAAAACTTTTCAAAAGTTTAAAAAATGCTATACCTAATTGTGTTTTTGACTAATTCTTTATACTAAAATTCAAATTTTGTATTTTTTTAATGACAGTTAGGTGTATATACAGACGTAAATCAAATAGTGCTAAGTTATGCTAATGTATGCCAATTTCTATTAATTGTCTAATCTACATTATTTGGTGCTTTTTCATGCCGCTTTATCTTTACCTTCATCACTTTTACGGTACATTTTCCAGTAATAACCTGCCCTCAGTAGAAGATTGTATGTTCCAAGTGTAGGTTCTGAAAAACAAACAAACAAACAAAACCGTTTTATCAACAATAAAAATACAAGATAGAGAGGAAAGATCCTGCACAAAAAAGGAGTACAATAAATTGTGGACTCTCACAGCCAAACACTAACTACTGCCTTTAATCTTGCAAATCAAAACTCTGATCCATACTCAACAAACTACTTACAAGATTTCTCTCTCAAGACATTTAGTACAAATTCAAAAGTTCATTTGTTGATGGTTTTAATTTGAGGGAGGAGGTTTAGTAAAGACCCACAAGCATCCAACAACCTTTGTGCGATTATCTCACATACACAAAGTTTCAATCTTTGATTTTGAAGATCTTTGAACCAATCAGTAAACAACTTCAGAAGGACAGTAAACAACTTCAGAAGGACATCAACCATCACAAAGGCTCATGAATGCAGTTGGATTTTTGAAGTTCAGACTTTTGACCACACGAGCTTAAATTTGTATTTTAAATTTAATTTTTAAGATATTAAATGTAATTTTCATTTATTCATTTAAAATATATCTTTCTCCAATAGAAAGGAATAACAAAGAAATTAATTAATTAATATTTAAAAAAAAGTAAATTACTGACTTTTTAGTTTGAATAGTGAAATGCAACCTTTTGTAACTTTATGTAACCTTATGTAAATGTAACTCACCAATCCCCTTGTGCTTCATATCTCTAAAGATTTCCAATGATGTCTCAGAACCATTAGGCATCAAAACACATAACTTCAACAGAACATGGTAGGTTCCTTTGTAAACAATAATTCAGTATTTCTGTCAATTGTGTCTGAGTTTCGACAAGACCATGACATCAGAATGAAATAGTACAATTTAACATACAGTCGATAATGTTTCTTACCAAGTGTTGGTAGAACTACAGGATCTGTCTTCATGTGACCAATGATTTCCTAAAATGTTGAATAAATGGTTAGCAAATCACTGCAATATAGTTTAGTATAGATAGCTTTAATATGTTTTGTATAGTAATGTGTGGATATTAGTGTTGTAAATAGTATGTGAACTTAAAAAAAAGACTTGAAAAAACTGCAATACTCAAAATATGAACAGATTACAGTACATGTAGTTTCTAAATGGCACACAGGAAGCCCAACCAGAGTTGAGACACTAAATAACCCTTGTAGAAAAGCTGCTCAGCTGCTCAAGAGATTCAAGAGCATAATATATAGGGTTGTACTGTGGCAACTGTACACCAAAACATAACCAGCAATTTTTGTACTAATATCCTTCTACATCATTGAATCATTAACACAGGCAACCTAACTCAAGAAGTCCAAATATTTTGCTAGAGTGAGCAACCAAACAAGCATAAACTATAAAACATAGCTGTAACTATCAAGCCTACCTTTACTTTCTTCCATATATTGACATATTTGCCACGTACTCTAGGAATCTTCTTTAGCAATGCATTGTAGGTAATTATGGACGCTGAAAAACATAATAATAAGGTGAGAAACTGCTTTTTCATGCTTTATAATTGAACTGAACTTCTCATTCCTGTGTTAAGTCTAAAAAGCTGTCTGAGGGTGAGTGGGAGGAGGTTTAGGAAGGAAGGAAAATCATTTGTTGTTCCTAATCTCCATCCCCACCAGGTGTTCCTCTTGGTSAAGAGGCTCAACACAGGAAGACCAACAAAAAGTCTGTTTCCACTGGAGTAGTCTGCAAAGGAGGCTAGAATCCTCTCCTCACAAACAAAACTACTGTGAGTATTTTACTATTTGAATCAATTTATCTATGTTCACAGTTACACATTTAGAAGCATGATATTACCTTGGAAGTTCTCTTCTCTCATCTCTTTGAAAAAGTCAAAGGCTCTTTCCGGATAATTATGCTGAAACAACRGTAAATTAAATTCAGGAAAAATAATTAATCCAAAGTTTACTTGAATKCATATACAGATAAACCCTGCGTACATAAGAACGCTAAATTTAAGAACCTAGTGCCAGGCTGAAATTTTCATTAAAGTCCTGGCTAATTTCAGAATTAGGTTTAAAATTTCCAAATATAAGCTCAATCTTGAAAACAATAAAATATAGCTCTCTGTTATGAATGTCATGACGTTAAATATGCTATATTAAACAACGCTCGGTTCAAGATTTATAGGATAGTTCAATGCAATTTACTGGTATGTCTTTACATGTCACTCACCTTGAGCAGTGCTAATATCATTGCATCATAAGTTCTGGCATTTTTCTCTTTCATACTTGAAAATAGCTTTTCAGCATAATTATTCATCCTAAGAATAATCATGGATCATGTTATCATGAGTCATCATTAATATGATTAGCAATTATTATTAGATTATTAATTATTTAACTACTTATCATAACTGCTTAGTCACTGCTCACCTCCATGTGTTTTTGTGCTTAGTAGCAGCTGTAGACTCCTGGAAGAAAAAATAAGTACAGTGTTATAATTAGAAACAACGTCAGATGACAGATATCTACTATCATCACAAGATGTAAAAAACTCATGTTATATATTAATAATGTAATAATAACAAACAATATTTCCTTATTTCTTCTGATTGCAGTAACACAATTGCCAGAATGGCAAACAAAGGCTTGCGATTTTGACACATTGGGAGTTCATTGTAGAAATGTGGCAACCTAATACATGACTTGTGAATATAAAATGTATTATACATTTTTATTTTAAAAATAACTACAAAAAATAAAGGAAGATACTGTGAACTACTGATTTGCCTTTGTTTGGTTCTGATATTTGCTTGTCCATTTTCTTTGATTTATTGCTGTTTTCTTTCAAAGATAGCATGTTATGGTTATCACAACTGTTCTCTGGTTTTCAAATGAATGTATTTTTTTATCAACTTTGGTTAAAAATAAAAAGAAGACTATTTCAAAATCATCAAACAATCATAGAAAATCATGCCTTCTTAGAAACTACTAATCCTGAAAGAATACAACAACAAAGACAAAGTATTGTGAAATAAGTTTCAAAAACTAATAAAAATAGCTGGCTGCACAATGACAGTGTTTTAGATAGTAATCTAACCTCTTCTTCTTCTGATAATAATGATGGATCGTCAAGGGAGGTGTTCTCATCTGAGTCACTTGAAGAGGAGTCACTTGAAGAAGTAGTTTCACTGTCATTTAAATGACTTTCCTAAAATTGCAATGCAAAATAAAAAAGAGAGTTTTTACTTGGGCTGCTTGTTTAAATTGTTTATCACTACACTTTCCCACCATTATGTTTTCTAGGTCTACAGAAGAAGTTATTGCAAGGCGGTGTTTGTTGTAAATCAATGCACAAAGTGACATAAAAAAGTGATAAAAAAAATTATTATTTAAACAACTAATAAATATAATAATAAATATAAAGTATATAATTCACCAGGTAAGATTATTTGCACCGATGTAAATCATTTCTAATCAATAGAATGCATCTTACCAAATCGTCTGCAGCGACAGTTCCATAATAGCCAACAAGGTCTAGTAGCTCATTCTTTGTTTCAAGGGAAACTGCCACTCCTTGAAACCAAAGGAGAATGCAATTTATAAACCAGACAATTAAAAGTTAAATAAGAAGAGGAAAATGAAAATATGAGAATATAAAGAGAGAAAAATTATGAAAAAAGAAGAGAGAGACTCAAATACATGTAAAAATGGGATGCAAAAAGAAAAAAACTATAAGTATTGACAAGCTATGAAAAATGGTTTCGCATGTAATAAAAATCTATGATAAATTGTATTAWTATTATCTAAACATCAAGTACCTTCACTTATAAGCTTTTCATAACCTTTAATTGCATCTTGTGGATTCATCTCTGAAATAACAGCTTCAAATGACATATTAMGCAAAGTGTTATTTTCTGTTTTAATCAATTTTAATCAATAATTCAGTTGTCTTGAACTTTGAAAAAAGTAGTATTTGTCAGCCTGTTTTTACCGACTAAAAGTTCATGAGATTCGAACCCACGGCCCTTGGATTTGTACTACCGATGCTCTACCAGCTTAGCTACAAGGTCAGACTGGGAGCAGGTTGTGGTGGAAGAGATAGTTAAACTTGATAATAAACTTATAGTCTGACTGGTACCTTTGAGATCGGCTTCTGACTGCAAAACCCCACTTTCTTCCACTTGTTCCCATGCCTAGAATAATAATAATTAACATATTACCAAAATAGGCCAATATATCACTAGCAAGCATTCAATGAGWTGTGTTTTAGATGGTTCCTACAYGTGTRYATGTTGCAACACRAATTACTTTGTAGTTGARGGACTGAAAAATAATCTTACTGTATTCAACAACAGGGAAGAAAATGTCCTTTTTATTCAGACAAGTAGTTTTTCTTGAATTTAGCGGATGGAAGATTTCTGTAGACATTTACCATGATCTTAACTCCTACACTGTTCATATATCTCATGTCCAGTCCTTATTAATCTATTCTTTTCAGTTCACATTGTCACTTCCGACTTATGTCATTCAATCCATATCCATGATATTTTTTGTTCTTTTACTTGTTTTACACCAAAAATCGTTGCATCGCGACTTCTTTGTTTTGAAGTTTGTCTGGATTTTGTTCTTTCTGTCAATCTTAGGGGCGGAGCTTTTYGAAACCTCGTTCAATCATTGGCTGATTAGTATCAAGCTCGCCCCCAAGTCGCAGAAAAACCTAAACTATTTCTTTTGAACATTGAAGTCGCGATGCAACGATTTCTGCTGTAACAAGTTTAAAAACTCCCATCATCCTGTTCGACTTGTATATATACATTTATTGGGAATTTTACACACATTCAAATTAATCGTATGAGGAAGTAGCTGATCCCACATTCAAATTATAATACTTACAGGCTCAGGATTTCTCATCGGRAACAATTGTGGATATTTCTGTAAAACAAACTCTGCTGCTTTGAATCCTGATTCCTGGGCTGCTTTACACTCTTTCTACATGAAATAATCAAATAATAATCAAATGATTACATGTAGTAAGAAATATTAACAAGCTGGGGATTATTACAAAGGAAACGCAAAGCAATGAGTGTACTCAATTTAATTACCCAAATACAAAAAGTAGTAATTATGATTAAATATTTAAAAACAARCATTGTATAATTTCATTGTAAAGTGTTTAAACAAAATACAATCGAAACAATCAATGAACAAACCTTTTTTTGTAATGACTTTGGATATAAAATCAAATCTTCAAAGAACTCTTTAGGAGGTGCAAGTGGTGTCTATAACAGCAGTGATGGACACTGTTAGGTAATGCAATCATGTACCAGACAAGATTAGAATTTTTC